CCTTGTGTTGTCTGGGTACTATAGTAGCCCCAGAGAATTGCAGCATGCTGTTGTATCTGCTTGCTAATCAGCCAACGTGAATGGCAAGTAAAATAAGAAAAGGGAATATTCAAATGTTCAAGTGTAGCTGCAATGAGAAGGAAGACAAAAGGCAGAAGCAAGAGTGACTCAATGAGGAAGTCAATGCAAATGTTAAATTTGTTTCCCCCAGCTACTTACATGCACCTAACTTTCAGCTATAGATCCCCATAGTCTTAGATAAAATCTTTTAAATGGTTGAAACTATCCAATTTGACTGTTGATTTGTGGTGCAATCTGAAGTTAAATCTTTCATATATTGCCTTACAAAGGGCAAAGCACAAACCCTCTGCTATTGCTGGCATCCTGTGCTGATTTTTCTCTCTCCATTTTTTCCTGTATCCGGCACTTAAGTCAGACCAGAATCAGTCAGCTCCTTGGGATATGCAAGTGTCTCAGGTAGACATGAGTTAAAACTCTTTCAATCAAAGTGCCTCCTGTGACACTCCTGGAATAAGGCTACAAAGCTCCAGAACCTACCCAGGAGATGATTTATTGTTGTAGATGGAGGAAGAGCAATGCAAATACATTCTCGAATACCCTCCACCATTCTCGGGGACCTGAAAAAATACTGTCTTTAGTTTTTAAAAGGTCATTTTATACTTCCTTTAAAAATGATAGTCTTGGCTAATGTACTCAGAATGGGATAATAATGACAACTTGACATGGGCAAAAGCACTATATACAATCCAAAATGACAAGTTGTCAAAAAGTATAATGGACAGCCAGGGGTAGCGTACCTGATGTGGAGACAAGACCATTACACGTCTTGAAGTTTAAGCTGGGCAGCCCCACTGTGAAACAAGCTTGAAAGCCCCGTTGTCTACTGGGTTGCTAAGGAGCCTTTGAAAGTGCACGAGGGTAAACTAAGGAAAGGTGTTAATTTAAACGAGAATTCCTGAATAGCAACACAAGTAGACAGACCCTGAGATACGACCATCATCTCTAATACATCCATTAGTTCTCTCTTGCACTGCTGTTTCTTTGTTCTTGTCCCCAGTGGAATGTTACAGCGCCGTTTACAGTGCCCTGTGCTGCCACTTTTGTGACTGGGACCTGGAGGAGGTGGCTGAAACTCTCAGCTACTGCCTTGGTTAATGTATCAGGTAATTATTGAAGGTTGTACCTGATTCTTGGTTTTCTAATCCACGTTGGAAGGTGGCATTATTTTCCTTTTAACCCTTTTCACCTCTTTCTTAATCTAAGTACACATGTAAGACCATATTGTCTGCTTTATACAGGGATCCTTGAAGATGCACACTTACTTATGCCATGAAGAGTAAGTGTGGATGACCACAGTTAAACTCAAATAGATGAATCCCTTTGAAGGGAGTGCTAGGGATGCGAAGAACCTGAGAAAATCAGGTCTTGCAACAGGCTGCTTATGTGCATGTGGTGTCTAGCTTTAGGCATGTGTATGGGAAAAAATGTGTATTTCTGCTATATTTCCTAGAAGTAACATAACTGGTTAAAAGAAGAATTCAAAACGGATCCCAAAGCTCTAGTTCCAGATACTCTAACCAGTAGTAAGAAGAATCTCCCCTTTCCTCTGTATTTGCAATTCATTTAAATTTTAATGCTTTTACCGGGCAAGACTTGGACTCTGGTGCCTGTTGGCAGCAGGGCGATCTGCAGGATTGTACTCACGCACCTGAAATAGAGCAGTTTCTTGACTGGTATCAGCCCAAGCTGTTGATGAAATGCTTCAACACAGCCCAAAGCAAACCAAGCCATGTAAAGAGTTTATGTGACTCTTAAACAACTTATATTAATGTTAGGACATTTGTATTCAAACTGATCCCTTCTATCTGGAGTTAGAGTAAGCTGCCTAGAATAGAAAGGCGTAGAAAAAGGAACTTTCAAAGGATCACTGAAACACTGATGAGGCTAAGTCACCACGTGGAACAACTTTCCGTGAAGGGGAAGAAAAGGGAGCCTAGAGCAATGACATTTGTAATGTAGCTCTCACAGTTACATTTCAAGTTAGGGAGAGTGAATCCAGGTCTTAATGTGCAAGTGACATTTACTGTCTCTCCTACAGCAAAAGTAGTTTAAATAACAAATGCACATTTCGACTGGCTTTGATCTCTTAAAGCAAGAAGATGAGTTTAAAGGCAAGCTTTTGGGTTTATTTTTTTTTCCCTCTTCTATCTGTAAAATTTAGAAGTGTAATTCTAGTCTTAATTTATAGCCCCCCCCCCCGCACCCCCACTC